CAAATGATAAAGTAAAATATCATTCAGCATAAGGCTCTTCTATTCTACAGCCAAAAAACACTAGGCAAGAAAAACTTCTAAAGTTATTCTATTAGTTTGCTAGGTCTGCCTTCACAAAATGCCACTCACTGGGTAGCTAGCACAACAGAAATTTACTCCTCCTAGTTCTAGAGTCCAAGATCAAGGTGTTGGTAAGCTGGGTTTCTCCTGAAGCCTCTCTCCTTAGCTTGCAGATGGCCACCTTCTGCTGTGTTCTTACACGGTCAGTCTGGTGTGCACATGCCTCCCTGGCATCTGTCTGTTCAAATTTCCTTTTCTTACAAGAACACAGGACAGATTGGATCAGACCCACCCTAAGAGCCTCATTTTACCTTAATCACCCTTTTAAAGACCCGATCTCTCCCTCTGTGTATACTCACATTTGAGGTGCTAAGGATTAGGGCTTTAATGAATGAAGGACTTCAATATAGGGGGATAGAATTCAGCCCATAACAAAATATATTCTTGTGCTCTTTATTGACAATTCCTTCAAAGCAATATCCTACATGGCTGTTTTGTCTATCTAAATTATTTTATTATAAATACCCCCACCACCAACAGTGTGTCCTTTAAAATCATTTCACTGCACTGGCAAGAATGAATGCTAAAGTATATTTTCGTATAACTCTAATATCCTACAGCTGATCTGAAACACCAAATGAATTATTTATCTCGAAAGCTTAAGAGGTCCCAACCAATAACCTCCACGACATAATGGTTCCAACTAAGACAATGTTAGTTGTGCTGTTAATTCTGTTACATAATAAATACTTTTATGTATTTATAATAAATCTTAAAATACATATCAAACTTACTAATAAATTTTAATTGGCATTTTTGGAAGTCTATAGCATAAAGAGGTTAATGGAGGCTTTTGAAAATGCTTTCTGCTTATTAGAGCAGGTGAATTTGAAATTTTCAAACACTATGCATTTCCAGGTGGCAGCCACCTGGAAATTAAGCACTCTAAGTGCTCACAGTAGGTGAATAAAAGATAAACATTTGGTATTTAGTAAGGCATTTACCATAAAATGTTAGAAAGTCATGAGGAATTGGAAACTAGGAGATGTATTTGAGTAGACAAATATTTGGGTCAGACCAAGGAATTACTAGCTAAAATCAAACAAATAGTTTTAAAAGCTGAGAGGTCTATAAAATGGAGAGAGCAAAAATTAAATATATCAAAGAATGCTCCAGAAAGGTAAAAATGTGGAGATGGAAAAAAGTGAAAACAATTAGAAATGGGAAGTCATTAATCCACTCTAATAATACACTGAATATTTCTCTTTTTCTGGAAGCTAATTCATTCCCAGCAGTTCTAGGAATAGTTTATAATCTAGAATAGTAGTTTTTAAATAGCGGTCTAAGATTTTCTGTAAAATCAATGAATTTATCCTTAAGGAAAGAGAGGAGTACACAGAAACTTAGGTGAGGTTCCTAATAAGGACCAGGAAGAACAATGAAGAGAAGGTGACAATTGCTTTAAGTTATTGATGATGGAGAAAACTAGACAACATTCTAGGTCCCCTATCACTTCCCCTAGATTTAACTTAGAATCTGCTACACAGCTCTCAGTTGAGGTGTTGAAGGCTGTACAGGTACAGGGCAAATAAGAAAAAGAAAATCAAATCAGAAGAAAGGGTGTCATGAAGAATTTTCTTAAATAAATAGTTTGAGGAGGAGAGGTGAAGGGTATAGGAATCAAGAGCTATATTTTAAGGCCTATTGTGATGTACCTACTGCAGTACAACTGTAGATGGCAAGTAAACTGTTGGATATACAGGTGTGGTGCCTAGAAGGGAGTCTGAGAAATTTGTAAAAGCCATTAAGGTAATGATAGTACTTAAGTCCTAGCAAACTGAAGCAATCACCTAAGGAGAAATTATAGGAAGGTAAAAAAAGGGAAGGGCTCAGCATTAGGTTAGTAACAGCAATACTTAGACATTGTCCAGAAGAGGATGTGCAAGTAAAGGACATTGAAAGTAGGAGGGAGAGAAGCCAGGCGTCAGTGAGAGACCCTAGGTTTCACTAAGACACTCACGATACCTTGGACCAGCAACAAGATGAACGATTTTTGAAACACAGTAATCACACAACACGTGCTTATTAAATGAATGAGTGAATAAGGGAGTTACGGTCTTGACTACCATGGCATTTCTAGAACTTAGAGTTGACTTATCCAGGGTAGAATGGAAATACATGGTAGAGATATGATAACCCTAAAAAGACAAGGTTAAACAAAATGACACTACAGACTTACCTTGGTTTTATTTTGGTATACCCCTGAAATCCCCTTTTATAATATTTCACTACTCTTAATAAAATACCATTCCAGCTTAATATTGAATTGGGTTATTATGAAATAATCAAGAAAACCTTCATAGATTAGAGTCCATTAATTTCAACTGTTCAGACAAGGGAAAAATGTATTCAACCCAAAGAAGTACAGAAAGAAATATTTCAATTGTGTACAGAAATGCAATAATGATCCAAAATATTTTCACTGAAAAACAACAGAAAAGCTGTAAACCATTACCTCTTAGAAAAGCAGCAGCCCTAATGAAGTAGATTTTTGAAAACTGTCACACAAGTAAGCTCATTAGTTGCATGAAAGATCCTCCTGCTGATCCAGGAGCACCTAATGGCAGGATTTGCTATGTCTCAAAAACAAAGGTAGTTTTTAATTTATGTAATAGCTCACTGAGGAGGTTTCAAATCTGGATACTTTTAAATGATGATATACAAAAGCCCTGAAATTCTCCAAAGCAAGCACACTTATTTCATCCAAAACATTACATTTATTCCTCTAAAATCTCATTCATTAGTAGGGTAATATAATCATAAAAAGAAATAATGCTCAACAATCAGCTACACTATTTAAAAAAATATCAGTGATGGCTCTTCTATTGCAAATATGAAGTTGGCTGCTCTCTGTGAATCACATTAACGGTATCTGCTGACCCACACACATATGCATGCCTGCCCTGTAACAGATGGAAACAAAAAACCCGAAGGCTTCAGGATGCCCCACAGAAACACCAAAAAAGAAAACAGAAGAATCTAATTACCAAGCTACAACCCTGCAAACCCTTATGAGAGTTAAGTATTTTTCCAAAGCAAAATATTGCAACATTTATACAGAATTTTAAGTACAAATGAGGCAAAATAGATAAAAGACATTTAAAAATCCAATTTCTAGCAATACTGCTAGAAAATTAATTCTGTCATAAAAAATACCTGAAAAGGAAGTATGTTCCAGCTTGCTGCTCGCTTTTAGAACTAGTAGGAAAGAGGGTGAGGTGGTCAGAAATCCAAACTGCTATTATCAGAAAAGGCTTGCAATGATGCAATTCTTGCTGAAGACTTAATGTCGGTATAAATAAGTAACTACTCAACTTATCTTTTCCCCAGAAAAAGAACTTCCTCTATATGTCAAGGCACTTTGCACCACTTTTTCATTTACTACTCATACTTATCAGGCTTACCGTTCATCAAGAACACCGTTTTCAATTCTCTCTCATTTTGTTTTCAAATTTTATTCTAAAATTTCAGTAATCATATTTTAGGGAACACGCCTTCCCTGAGTTGAAGTGACCCAATCACTTAAAACCTATTTTGAATAGTACTGCATTATTTTTTATATTTTTTTCTCCATGCCCTTTTGCTCTATCTCACACTATTTTAATATGAGAAAATAATTTGGATCATTTTCCCTTCTTAAACTCAATTAAAACATTTACCCTTAAATGTAGACATTCTCTTCTTATACCAAGGAGAGTTTACGGTAACACAAGGGCAAAGTAATTCTAATATCATTATAATATTAGGTTGCAGGAGTGAAAAGTATAAAGTTTACTTTTGGTCTTCAAGATCCAGAGTATTTCCAACCTTGCCCCTACCATACACACACAAAAGGCTGTATGAGACACACATTTCAAAGAAACATACATCTCAGAAAAAAAGGTCAAAGGACATCTCATCTAATCGCATTGCCTCTCTGAAGATAAAGTGCAACTAAAATAATTTAAGGTGGATAGGCAATGAGAAAAGTGTTTTTTCTTAAAGGGGTATTAACTATAATATAGAAAAAGTATCCTTCTCCAAGTTGACAAATTCCAATTTTAAGACAGAAATAAACACACTACAAAAATAGTTTGGCATTACTAATGACCAGTGGTCAACACACACAAAAATAGATATTTCACCATTTCAAGTGAGGTGTCTTCTAAAAACTATATTCATACTTTTATATATAATCTTACAAATGTGTAGGTTGTTGGAACAAGTAAAATTTTTTCCACAGAATCAATGTGATAGATGAATGAAAACTGGATTCTTCTGGTGGCCAAAAAATTACATTTAAACCATATTATAGTCAACTATTAATAATAGGTCCAGTCTTTTCTATATGACCCTTTAGAGCCTAATCTAAACCCATAGTAGAGGCTAGAAGCAGGTTGAAATTTGGACATTAGGAAGGAAGGAATGAAATGATCTTGTGCAGTTTGGTCTCTACTAGGATAAAGAACACAGGCTCCACTTGGAAAGTGGGAAGACAGAGATTAAGAAATTAGGCAGATGGGGGACATTGTTTACTGGTGCTCAGGTTAGATACATAATAGTCCCCAAGTGCTTGTGCCTGCAACTGAATCAAAGTAACATGTAGAGGAGGCTTATTTAGCAGCAGAGGGTGGGGCTGGCAGGTACTCATAAGGTTTACACTGCAGAACAATTTATTTTTGAGTACAGAGCCTCATAATCTAATCAAAAAACCTCATAGCTCCAATACTGATGACTCATAAAACAAATATCCTACAACTTTCTATTTTTAAAATGCCACATTCAGTATCAAGACATGGGACAAACTAGCAAGTACATTCAAACAAAAGGCTGTCATTTTCTGTCCTTAAGTACGAACTGAAAAACCAAAGCAGTGAAATGTTCTCTGTAAAAGCACAAACCTTTGCTAGCTTTGTCCAAATGACCCAAATCATCCACAAAATGCAGGATCTCAGGATATTTTTCTTCACAGATTTCCACCAGAAAATGAAGTAGTGTTGTTTTCTGATCTGTTGATTTTGTGTCCTTCAGCTAAACAGAATGAGAGAGGGGGGAAAAAAAAAACGGTAAAAAATATTTCAATAATCTGCCCACTGAAATAATGTCAATACTGTATTTGGTAGATAAGAAATGAGTTGTAAAATTAGTTAATTCTATTTTTGAAAAGCAAATATTTAAACCTGAAAAGCTGCTCTTCAGGTATTATTTGATCAAGATCATTAATATTTATTAAAAAGGAAGAATACATTTAATCCAATCTAATATGCAACATTTTATGGGTAAAAATATGTGGTAAATATGTGGAAAACAAAATAATCTGAAAGTCTCTATAATAGGAATACATGAACCTGGGCATTTGTTCATTTTCCACTTGGCATGTATTTATACAATGCCTAATAGATACTGTAGGAGTTGGAGATACAACAAATAAGAAGACACAGTTATTCCTCAAAAAGCTATTGAGTGTAAAAGAAAACAAAAAGCAAGTATTTACTCTGGGTGACAAACAGAATAGTAAAAATAATCATGAACACCTAGGAGGACAGGACATCTGAACTGAATATTGGTGGAAGGAAGCTGTATGGGATTAGGTTAGGAAAGGAAAAATTCAAAAGTGCAGTGACACAGGCAGATGGAGCAGCATATGAGAAAGGTCATAGATGAGGAAGGAAATGGTACATTCGAGGAGTTAAGAGTGACTCCAGAATAAAAGTGGGTGCTGGGGAGACCAAGCAGGGAGAGTAGAAAGATATCAATCTAGAAGACAGGAAAAGACCAGAAAATAAAAGGGAAGGTATACCGCACAATAGAAATAGGACTTTGATCCATAAGAATTGGGAGTCATTAAACTGGATCAAAGATGATCTGATGTACATTTTAGAGAGTTCCCCCCAGCGCAGTGTGGACAGATTAGAGTATGGGTAAGAACAGAAGCAGAAAGGGTAACTGAAAGAGCTGTTTCAGTAATCCAGGCGTGAAAGCAGTCAGTCTTGGGAATGGAGAGAATGGGACACAGTGGGCATGGAAAACCAGGTGATGCCATTAACTGGAACTGGACAGAAAGTCAGAGAAGCAGATTTGAGTGAGGTGGGCAAAGAAGAGAACTCTTTCAGCTTTGGACAAGTAAAATTTGAAGCTTTTAAGTAACATTCAAGTGGAAATGCCCAGAAAGGACTTGGATTTATACAGGTGCAAAACAGGGTTTCCTGACTTTTTTCATTACTATTAGCTAAGGAGCTTCTTCTTCAGGCTTTTTCTTCCTGTTTGCACCTATAAAATTGTAAAATCACACATATACTGTATATTTGTTTCTGTACTATATGTATATCTGTGCTTTGCAAGTAAAAACAGTAAGGTATGTAAGATATTTTTGTGTAGTGACTGAGGGTAGGCAGTATTCGGTGTGAACACAGAGCAAATATGTAATCTGTTAGTGCTTCCTACAACTGGGTAATCGCTCAGAGCAGATACACATATAAGCGGAAAAAAATCATTCTTTCAGTATGAGGATTTAATTCAGAGCCAGAAATTCTTGGCATACCCAACTGTGCACAACCTTATCTACTTGCCTCCTTTCCAGTAATTTCCTATTTTAAAATAGGTATACACGCACACACATACATGTATGTCCATAATTTTTTCAAATTCTACATCATTAAACATTGTATCATTATCAGAAAAATATCAAATGACAGGTAACAATATCTGACAGTGGCAGACAGATTCTGTGCCACCACATATATCAACACACATTACTTAACTAATCCAAAAACCATCGTATCCCTGGAAACATACAGCTACCCTCCTAGACAGACTTTCACATGATTAATCATATAATAGGCTCAAATGCTACATTGGCTTATTCAACATGCAAACTAGAAGAATAATTCCTGGCACTTTAAAAACTACATCAAACACAATCCATTATTTCATGCCTTTTAAAAGGATCATACACCACAACACCCATTCGTTTTGACAAAGTCTTCAAAAAAGGACTCAATTACAAGCTAGATTAATTGCTACTAACACCTATGGATGACCTGGTAATGCTAAAACAAGCCTTTAACTAGTTACATGGCCTGAGGCAATTTACTGGACCTCAGTTTTCACACAGGTAAAATAAGAAGAGGGAACTGGACAGGAAAAGGGAACTCTGTATTCACGCTCTACTCCAAAAATATTAAGAATACATTATAGTTAGTAGATAAAGCAAAATCTAATTTTTGAAAAGATTACAAAAATGAAGAGACCTAATTATAATTTCAAATCACAATTTATTTGTGTGTGCTTTAGTCAGTTACTACCTTTCAGTTTTCACATATACTGAAAATGTTAATCCGATTTATAAAACTTTTCAACTCTATAGTCTCACTCACACTCTCGTGCTTAACAGGTAAGGCCAGCAAAAAAGCAGCAAGCTTTCATGTATACGGTAGTTCACTCTTGTACAATCAAGAGTCAGCATAAAAGCAGTCTTTGTTTTTGTTATTTTTTTAAAGCACCTTAATAGTGAACTCTTCTATTCCCCCTTCTACCCCATTACAGCCACAACTCCCTGGGAACACTGTCCCTTCCGGGGACTCTCAGCTCCAGACGGTCACTAGTCAACACCCTTCCTTAGCAGGTTCCTTTCACGTGAATAAACTAGATACATGGTTTGTATGAAATGTTGATTAACCCAAGTACCACCTACCTCTATAAATTGTAAAGCCTGGAAAGAGCTTTCCAGTACTATTTGTGATGTAGCTGAACAGCCAGCAACTGCTAAGATTAATACAAAGAAATCTCCATGACCCACCAATAACCAACTGGATCAAACATGATCTTTATTCACAATCTAGAATTCAGTTAGAATCCTAGAACATAATATAGTTTATAGCACCTACCAGTTGAATAAATGTTACGTATACAGGCAAACAGAGATTCAAGTTATTCAAAGACATCATAAAATTAAACACTAATTTATGGAGGAGAATCCTATGCTGGCTGTATTACTGAAAACATCAACTGATTAGCAAGTAGCATATTGGTTAAAGTCTAATATTAGGAAGTATACTCCCTGAATAGTAAATGGAAACAAAATTCTCTCATCTTTCCAAAGTCTATATTTAATAATTGTGAGACTAAAAAAAAAAAAACTCTCAAATTTCCAAATAAATAAATTTGAAATTAATCCTAATAAATGATAAGAAGTTCAGTTAAAAAATATAGACAGTGGCTGTTGATACTGCAGTGTCTCATTTAAAAATTATGTGCCTCTAAATTCCAGGGCAGAGATTCTTCCTGCAGGTCTTAACATTCTCAGGGAAACTGTACAATGCTGCCAAGGTATTCTTTCTGCCTCAGTTGCTCTATTCCCTCTCTCCTTCCCCCAAATCATTTTAGAAAAAAAGCAAAGAAAAAAAAGCAGTTTTCCAAAAGCATGCAAACACAACAAAATGTACTTATCAAAGTCTTCATTTTGCTCAATTTGTTTTTTTTACTTTTCTGATAAATATGAACAACTAAAAAAGGGCACATTTCTATTTCTATTAATTACTCAGCAATTGAGTAAGAACAAGGAGAGCTTGGGAGATGGTACTAATTTTGTTGAAGAGAAAAGGACAGGTCACTTGAGTGCACTTTGTAATGCTAACTCTTGGAAAGAAACTGAAGCTAAAATATTTGCTCTAAAAATTTACTTAGGTTGAAAAAATATGCTTTATTAAGTTTTAACAGACATTGCTTGACAGGATTCCTTTTGTGTTATTGTCAAGAGATGTATCTTACTGATGAGTAATCATCACTGTTAAGAAGAATTTCTTATTCATATACTGTTTTTGTAAGGTGCATTTAATGCAGCACAGATGTCAAATAAACAAAAAGATGGATGGAGTTTCTTCAACTGCTCTGTTCATTCCAGACAAAATAATGTTAAAAGAAGATCCTGTAATAAATCATGGCCTAGTTGTCAGTCTGGAGTAGAACTGCTTTGTAGCTATAATGCAAAGTTTTGGATTTTTAAGGTATTCAGCACAATTTGGACATTTAAAAATACTCCATGGTTTTCATTGTAAGGAAGAAAATATCTAAAATAAAAATTAAGTATCTTTTTGGTGATCCTCAGAATCCAAAGACCTCTGAACTCTTTGACTAATGGCACTTATATTTTAAGAACACTGTTCAACTTAGTAACCCTGTTCCCCATGATGTCCCTGTTATCTAAGGGTGCATCAAAACAGCAGTGATTCTTTAGATGTTGTAGACATTGCTACACACCATAAAAATGACAAAATTATAAGAATCTGTAACCATTCCATGAATATTCTAGAAGACCCTAACTTGCGAATAGTACTACTAATACTGTTTATAACACCAGGTCTTATTTATGGGGCACTTACTATGAGAAATGGACTAGCCAAAAACTATATGTTTAGTGTTTAAAACACTCAACATCCCAGGAGGAAGGAACAAGTATTATACCAACTATCAAGGAAGAGAAAAGAGAGTTTTGAGAGATCATGTAGTATAAACCAGATCACATAGCTACTGTCCAGTAGAACCAAGATTTGAACCCACATCTGTGAATCCACAGCTCTTAGACACTACAAAATAGTTCTGCTACAAAGATCTTATTATTTTGCTTATTATGATGTCTAGCTTATTATGTATCAAAATAAAATTTCCAAAACACAATGGACTAAAAAGGTAGTAAACGACAAAAGAGTATTTATGCAATTTAAAATATTGAAGCCACATAACCCAATTGCAGCCTGGAAAGCCTCTGAAAACAGACATGCTTTACACCTCAGGGCATTTCTAGTTCTGAGGGCATGTGGGATTTTTTTTATATCCTTTTATCTATAAAATTAATAAAATGCCTCCTGAATCTTATCAAATAGCAAGTGTTTCCATATTACTAATAGATTAGTGCTTACAAAATATTATTTACACATGATTAGATGAAAATAAGCCTGTAAAGTTTAACCTTTAACAGACTTAAAGAAGTACATTTACTAACATCACATTTCATCTTAAACCCTATACAGAAT